GTCCCCACTTTTCACAAAAACAAACCTGTGTGAGTGTGTGTGTGTGTGTGTGTGTGAGTGTGGGTGCGTATGCGTGTGCGTGTGTGATCTACATGATTGCTCAGATCAAGCAATTGATGTCTGACCGTCCATCATCAGAAACAGCTTCAATCTATAATTGCTTGTTTTTCCTCATCAGTTAATTTGTACAGAACAGAACACACTGTTCACTCACTAGTGTACGAGACTTTGGGGGACGTACAAGGAGTTTCTCACATCAGAAACAGACTTTTCAGATGTGCACTGATCAGATCAAGATCATATTTCACCCTAAAAACAAGACCAAAAAAGAAATTATATTTTGTACAGAAAAAAAAATTAAGACGTTTTTACTTTGTGACTCCACATTCAGTGAATTTCATTAGATTTTAATAGACTATAATATTAAAGAAAAGGTTTAGATCTTTAAAAATATTCATCCAAAAATTTAATTTTTCTAAATAAATAAAGTTTTCTAATTGTATATTACAACTAATTGATGACGAAGTTCATCAAGTATTTCCAATCTACCAAATGGGCTAATCTCTAATGTCAGATGGACTTCTTTAAGATTCATTAGCTTTTATTTCATTTTGACTTTATGTAATTATGAAATACATTGTGTTTAACATGTTTTCTCCATCAGGACACAGCAGAAAGAGAGTAAGAGCTCCTCTGAAGAAGGACACGGTGTGTGTGTGTGTGTGTGTGTGTGTGAGAGAGAGAGAGAGAGAGAGTGTGTGTGTGTGTGTGTGTGTGTGAGTGAGTGAGTGAGTGAGTGAGTGAGTGAGTGTATGTGTGTGTGTGTGAGAGAGAGAGAGTGTGTGTGTGTGTGTGTAATCTGACCCCGACTGACTCCATCTCTCTCCATCTGTGGTGTGAGACGGGCAGAGAGGGTGATGGAACTGTAATTACTGTCACTGCAGTGATCAGAAACTGACCAGCGCTGACCTTTGACCTCCCGCTCAGAGGCTGCTGGAGCACAGCGGTCGAGTGTCGCTCAAGGACATCAGCACACACAGAGCTGGAGACTAACAAAAGAAAACTAGTGATGGATGAACTGATGCAGTGAATCACACACAATCACTGGAGAATCCCATTTAGTTCAGTGAATCAGTTCATTTAGAAAAAGTCATTCAAGAAAACAATTGACTGACTCGTCGGAAGTGTCTCTCTCTCTCTCTCCCACACACACACACACACAACTTGAAAAGAGTGTGTGTGTGTGTGTGTGTGAGAGAGAGAGAGAGAGAGAGAGAGAGAGAGAGAGAGAGAGAGAGAGAGAGAGAGAGAGCCACAGGTGCAGTTGAGCTCCAGTATCACATACACAGTGAGTATCAGGCCAATTACACACACACACACATCACAGTATATATTGCAGAAAATGAAGAATAGCATGAGTTACATCGACCGTTCTGACACTGTTATGGCTTTTTAGTGTATTTTTGTCCTGTAGTCATGTAGCTCTGTAACCCTGTAACCTGTAAAATAAAGGAAGATGGTTTGTCAAATTAAAACGTAATAAAAATGAATCTGACATCGTCTGCACACCTCAGTCTGAGCCGCAGGTGAGACGCTCGTTAGCTGATAATTCATTCGTTCCTTCTCCACCTGCTTTCAGCCTCTTAACGACTGATTATCAGTCATCACTAAAATATGTTCACGTTCCCTCTGGAAATGTTATTGCTCCGATGTTTCATTATGAAATAAAAGAGACCTGAATGAGTCATTAGTCGTCCTGCAGTAAGAATCTAGAAATAACTCAAACTAAAATGTAATCCAAAACCATAAAAAATAGTTACTTGAAATAAAAAATAACCAAAAGAAAGAAAATTTAAACGTATTCAACTAGTTGCAATGGCATCATTTCTCATCTTCTTTTTAGTTTAGCTTGATGTCCTAAAACAACTCAAACTAAAACTGAAATAAAAATGTATAAGAATTAAACCATTTTAAATTTTAAATTTTAAATAATAAACTAGATTAAATGTGACCCTGGAGCACAAAACCAGTCATAAGGGTCCATTTTTTGAAATTGAGATGTATGCATCAGCTGAAAGCTGAATAAATAGCTTTCCATTGATGTATGGTTTGTTAGGATAGGATAATATTTGGCCGAGATACAACTATTTGAAAATCTGGAATCTGAGGGTGCAAAAAAAATCTAAATATTGAGAAAATCATCTTTAAAGTTGTTCAAATGAAGTTCTTAGCAATGCATATTACTAATCAAACATTAAGTTTTGATATATTTACGGTAGGACATTT